ACTCCACTGATGTGGAAAATTGTGTGGTGGACCCTGAATGAGAAGATGTGTAAAAGTCAGTGCCAAGGTAAAGCAAATCCTTTCAGATCCCCTCCTTGACAGGCCAGAGTCTGACCAGTAGCCTGACAGACAGGAACAGTCTGTGGGCATGGCTGGCAGGGCGTGGCTCTCTGTGCTGTACTGGCTGCACCATGCAATGCTCCAGGATGACTCTCCTGAGGGCTGGTGGCAACAGCAGGGACTAAGTTGGCTCACAGTGGGGAGTCAGGAATTTTGTTTAAAAGTATTTATGCAGGCGAGTGTCAGATGTGTGGTGCAGCAGCTGTGTCTCACAGTGTGAAGTCTGTCTCACCCATCCTCCTGAGGGATAAACCCCCATCATAGCTGCCAGCAGCTCCATGTTTCCATTTAATGGGCAGTGTCCCTGCACTGCTGATTGCCATGAGGAACTTCTGGAGGACTTGGAAGTAGAAATGCTAGGGTGTAAGCAGCTTCCTGACTGAACCTTCACCCAGCCTCCTGAAGCAGTAATCACTGTGTAACCTCTGTGATAAACCAGTTCCTGTGATGAAGAAAGAATCCAGACTGGCCTGAGTGGTCTGGCAGCCCTGTGTGTGACAGATGTGTACAATTTGTACCCCACTGTTTGTCTTTCACACAGCACGTTTAAGGGAGTGTAAACCTTCTATCCACCCTGCAAACAGCTCTCACAGCAGCAGAACCTGTTCCTCTGCCATAGCTTTTGTAAATCAATGTCTGCTCTCCTGACCTGACCCAGATTTGTACTCCAGTTATTCCCTGGTGGGATGGAGGTGCCAGCAGCTTGCTCTGGGTTTGAACAACATTGTACACATCCTAAAATACCTGAGATATGATGCTCTGTACACGGGCTGCTAGTGTCAGAGAGGGGGCTTGTGCACACTGGTTTTCAGTATCTCTGAGACTGTGCTTTAGAAATTGGGCATTTCACTGAATTACCTGCACTGTGAGCAGAGAGATTATTTAATCATTTGTTGAGCAAGTGGCAGCACTGCAGAGAAAGGCCAAGAAGGCCTGGGCTTGATAATGTAGCCTGGAAAGACAATGAAGAGTGATACTTAATTAGACCCAGTTCTCTGAGATTACCTTTGGACTCTCATTTTTCCCTTCATCATTATTTCAGCTTAGAAAATACTTCTCTCATGGAAGGCAATGTTGTTTTACCACTACTTTTGCCATTCATGTTGGCTAGAGAAACACAGCTAGCATGAGAAGACATTTAATTTATTGGTAGTCTACTTAAAAGTTTTAGCAGTGTGCTCAGAGAGTACTTGTCAATTACAATGAGGCTAAAAATGATAAAGAATATTACCTAGAGTATTAGAGAGAAGAGGTCAAAACTAACACATAAGAGCACTTTATCTGCTGCAGCTTTCCAGGGTACCAGATTCAGAGGTGCTGTCTGTCCCCCAGGAGAAGGGGGAGGGCTGCAGGTGTCATGGGCCCAACAAGTCCTTTGCTCCAGCAGCACAGTGGTGGGAGGATGGTCATGGTGATTCTGCCTCCTCCTCTGCTGGAGTCCACCTGGGGCTGCTTCTACCCGATCTTTAAGGCTCCTCTTGCAGTGCTCCTCAGTCCTCAGAGCTGGGTGCATTGCACTGGCCCCGGCAGAGCTGTGCACACCTGGCAGAGCTGCTCCTGGCTGCTGTGAGTGATGTTTCCCTGCCCCAAGGTCAGCTCCTCTGTTGATGCAGCAGCTGCCTGTGGGGGAGTAGCTCATAGCACCGGGGCTGCTGGGTCCCTGCGTGTCCCAACCAAAGCAAGGTTCACAGACCTCTCTCTCAGGTTTTGCAGCATTAGTGAACGGCCTGTGGCCCGTTTCTGGCAGTGGCCAGGCTGTTTCATGGGCTATAGGCAAACAGAGCCCATCTGCCACCCCACGGGCATGAGCTGTCACACACGAGTCCAGCAAGGATATCACAAACCCTCCTGTGGCTCAAGGCTCCCCACCAGGACCGAGCAGCTGATCTTCTTGGAGGCATTTGCTCTTTCCTACCTGGTCTTGCCTCGTGTGGGTCTGAGGGTGGCCTGTAGCTCTTGACTTAGGTGCATGGCTGCTGCTTGTTTTTTGTAATATTTTAGCCAGTTGAATAGTTTGCACAATTAACTGAATTCCTGCAATTCCCAGGATTACACTTCTAGACTTCTAGCCTAGTTAAAAATTTCAGTAGATGATGGAAGTGCCAACAAGGAAGGATTTACACCAAGTATGATGGCCAGCATCTTTTATTGCTGTTGTAGTAAGAGCAACTTGCTCATTTTTCTGACATACTGCAAACCTTGCTTTGGTGTCTGTGAGACTACAAAAATTACAGGTAGATGCTGTAATCTGCAACAACTGGTCAAAACCCAGCCCAGATGTACACAGTTCAAAAGTTTCTTTGTTCAGTACACAGTTTAAAAGTTTCTAGCAATTTTAGTGTCACTTGTATGTAAAAATATTGTGTCATTAAAATCATACATTTAAATTAAAGTCACATTAAACAGTCATGCATTACCAGATAACTTAGACATGCAGAGGTGATTTCTGGATTCTGGAGATACACACAAACACAGCTGGATCCCATATAAGTGATTACATTCCCACTGGAAACCAAAGGGTACATTTCATATTCACCTCTGGCTAGAGCCAGTTCTAAACTGATTATCTTTTTGTAAGCAATTTGCACATGTAAGTGCTTCTTGCTTGCTGGTGTCCCTGCAGAGAGGCAACTGGGAGCACTCCACCTTGCTGGGCTGCTTGACACGGCCACTGTGCAGCTCTCATCTCAGGAAACCTCCTGCTGTCAGTGTCTAAAGTCACATCCTCATCTCCTCCATAACAAAATTAACTTATTCATCAGCACACTACATGTATCATCCATGTATGCAGTGATTTGATATCCCCACCACTGGGGACCTTCAGCTTTCTACCTATCCCAGTACCATCAGTTTATACAGAGGTGCTCTAAATTAAACTAAAAATGGTGCAAAGCTACATTAAGTGTATATATTTTTTTAAATATAATTTACCCTACTAAAAATTTCTATACTTCATTTGTTCATCTTTGCTTCTCATAGTATCCAAAAGTACTTAAGTTTTTCAGCTGTGTGTTTCCTGTTTCACATATACAGGTGCTCTATCAGTCAGGATCACTATCAGTAACAGGATGTCCATACTCATCAAGGAAAACTAGATTTCTAGATGTCTCTTATTTGGAGATGGTGACCCCTTTAAAATGGATCAAGTTTTTCATTGTCACCACAGCTTGTTAATTCTTTTCTCTTACTTGAGCTTCAGTAATAGCAACTGTTCTAAAAAAAAGGAGATTATGTTTTTCCACACATCAATGCATGTATGATAACAAAGCATAATAAAAGCAAGAAAGCAAGCATCATACAATTAATAATATCTTAATTCCTAATTTGGTATTGTTACTTATTCTTCTATGCTACCTATGGAAGACAAAACAGCAAAGATTGTTATGAATAGTTATCTCAGTTAAAAAAGATAGAAAACATATGCACCCATAGAAGTTTTGATGATATTAAGGATCTAATAAACTGCATCTTCACATATTTTTATACAATTTATTAGCTTACATTTTTAAACAGTTGCTCACCAATCCTCCATCATAATTGCTTCAGCTGGTTCCATCATATCTCTATAACAGAATAACTTTATATTTTAATTTAAAATTATTACATTAATGTGTATACTTTACCATATACTTTACGTACTTCCTTTTTTTTACTTCTCTTTTTCCCCACTCTAAGAAAAAAACACTGGTGTTAATGCACCAACCATGCATCACACATTTAACTTTTTGCTTTCAGAGCGAATTCTGTCCCAAGTCAATTAGAATATTTTATTATTAATAACCATCCCCTCAAAACTTTATAGGTACATACATAATCTGCTACTTTTCCAGTTTGTAACTTTTTGAGCATTGGTAGCAATTAGTTCACATTCCTCTGTTTCAATCCTTTTTCCTTTTTTTTTTTTTTTGATACCACTCCTAAATGTCTTTGCTGCACATACTTCCACAAGCTTTTGTGAGAACACACTACTGAATTTAACAAGACTAATGCTAAACATGAGCTGCTTCATTTTGTTGGTACCTCTTGAATTTGCTCTGCTTTTATGTCTTGATTTCTCTGCTTTGCCTCTGACAGCAGACAGGTATTATTTTTTTAAATTATGGGCTTTTTTTTTCTTTTTGTAAGTCCAAATTCTTTTGGATTACCTACAGAAGACCCAGAAAGAAGATGTTATTCTTTCCTTCTTGCTTCACCCTCAGGGTTTATACCATGCTTGGGACTCCTGTAACCTTTCTTGCACAGCCCTTCATACCTAGAGCTCATTCCCAGTCCTAGTGCTGCACATCACTACTCACAAGTGCTACAGCCCAGCTGGTATCACAGCTCCAGTGTTTTATCAGTCCTAAAAGCTTTCTTTTTTCCCAAAATAGCTTCTGCTAACTTGGCCTGAGCAGCATTTGATACCCCTGCCCAGACTCAGGGCAGCAGAGTGGGTGCCAGGGTGGCTGTGGCAGCGCTCAAGCAGCCTCTGCTTTACTGCAGCCCTGACTTGTTCCTGCTGGAAAAGTCAACTTTTCCTTCTGTGTTTCTCCTTTAAAAACAAGCAAACCCAAACCCCCTTAACACTTCACTCCTCCTGCATTTCTCTCCTCAGAGGAGCCTTCTCAATTTGCACCAGACACGCTCTGGTGCCCCAACTTTATTCGTGACATGGACGATACCTCGAGGGCTCTGCTTCCCATTTCCCAGCGCTCCCAGTGTGGGAGCCTTCCCCAGTGGCCCGGTTTTGGTCCGACCTCGAGCCCGGGGAAGAGGGGGACTGTCTGCTCTAGGCTAAGACAGGGAGGGCAGGAGCCCCGGGCTCGCTTCCCTCTCTTCTCCCGCTGATCTCCAGCAGGCGATCCAACAGAACTCTGGTGGGAGCATTATCCCAGCGGGCCATGTCCTCCCGCTGCCTCCGAAGCTCCCTCCATATCTCCACTCGTATCGTGCTTAACTCCCTGCTGGCCACGGTATTATGTACCACAAATCGGGGGGCTGCACTGTACTGCCACTGTCTCTTGCCCTGCCACCTTCCTCTCCTCCCTTTTCCCAGGAAGGGGCTCTGGGGGCTCACAGCAGCAGAGGCAGTGCTCTGCAGCACCTCTGGGTCCCGCATATCCCTGGAGCTTTCCCTTCCTCTGCTGCCCCTTCCTCTCCCGGATCCCCCTCTGCCCTCCCTTGCCCAGACGCTCCCTGCGGACTGCTCTCTCCTTCCCTGGGTGCCCCTGGGTCTGAAGTGGTGAGGAGCTGGGCCAGCGGTGGTTCTTCCCTCCCTGAGAACCTGCTCTGCCTGCGGCTGCACGCTTCTCTCACTGCCCTGCTCCGCTACTCCCCTCTCCCTCTTCCCAGCCGCTGGAGCGCAGGTAAGCGAAACAGGATTTGCTTTAAATCCTTCTGGCCTCTCAAAAACTACTGACTGTGGGCTTGCAGGCTTACACTCCTCTTTGGAGGGGCTTCCATCCGGATTAACCCACTCCTTTCCATCCCAGTGCTCATCATCCCTTCGATGGGGTGTTTTTGTGACAGCCCCGTGCTTCGCCTCTAATGCGGCTTTTAACTTTTCTATCTTGACTTCACAGGCCTGGTGGTCTGTGCCCCTCTCTTTTAGGGTCTGTATTTTTTGCACCAGTAATTGGATTGTTCCTTGTGCCTCCTCTACGGCTTTTGTACTGATGGCTACTTTTTCCTTCAGTGCCTGATTTTCACTCAAAATGGCCTTTTTATGTTCACACACCTCTTGATACTGGAGAACACTTCGCACTTTTTCCATGGCCACAGCTCTTTCTTGAGTTATACCCTCCTCTAGTTTAAGCCGCTGAGCCTTTATTTCTTCTTTCAGTTTCTTGTTTTCCTCCCTTAGCTTCTGAATTTCTACCTGGGCTGCCTGTTTTTCTTCAGCTAAGCTTTTGGCAACTAACCACACAGCCCACGCTCCTGCACATTTTAAGGATTTTTGGGAGAAGAGTTTACATTTGGTCATCTCTTTTAATTTGGCAAACTCTAGGTCAGCCTGCTGCATACTTCTGCAAGAGTTTGGACCCCAGGGGTTTGTTCCCCACTGAGTAACCCAATTTGCCAGCTCTGACATCTTTTTGTCTTCTCTGCAGGTATTTTAGACTTTACAGAAAGGTCTGTTTACAAACTACAGCTCAGGCAGGTTGAGAGAAGACGGCAGAGCCTCACCCAAATCTGGGCTTGCTCCTTTGTTGTTTTTCTAGTGTACTTTTTCCCTCCAAAAGGTTTTCTCAACCAAGAAATCCCCTAAGCAGGGATTTCTAATTTATCTCTTCTCACAGACAAGGCAGAGAGCTTTCATTCGTCTGTCCAAGGATGGTTAGAGGCATCCCTTGAACATTTCTCTTCCCTAGGTGGGAGGACGGCTTTCAAACCTGCTGGGTTCCCCACTTCAATATTTTCAACTAGTCTGTGTTGCCCCCAAAACCAGGTGCTATGCTTTCAGCAAGACACTTGAGGCTCTGTGAACACAGAGCAGCCTTGTTGCTGGTTGTCTCTGACTGCCACAGGATGGCACCCAAAAAAAGGCTCTCTCAGAAAGGCTACTCACAAAAATGCCATAAGGGCTCCCCAGAGGGCTGCTGCCTTCTCTGACGGTTCTGTGCACCACAGTTGGTGCCTTTACATGGGCTGGGGAAACACCTCACACAGGAGGAGAATCAATCTGCTGTTTGACTACTTCAGAGTTCTAACAGCCTGATCAAAGAGTGTTAATCAATCCACTTACAGTGCTGGGTGATATTATCTAGACTATTAGAGAAAAAGGAGATAAAAGTGAAAATCAATCCCTTATCAGTATCAAACCCACCCCCTCCCTTGTCTGCTATGCCTTTCCCCAGTTCATGCTCACCCTTCCTCTGCCCAAGGATGGCTGCAAGTGTCCTGGCACAAGTCCTTCACCTCCAAGGAGCACAGTGCTGACGACGGAACTCCTCTGTCTGCCTCTCCAGGGTGCTGCTGCTGGTGAGATTCTGCCTCCTTCTCTGCTGCTGGAGTCCACCCGGGGCTGTCAGTGGTGCCCTAAGGCTCCCCTCGCCCTGCTCCTCCTCCCCCAGATCCGGGGATGTGGGCACTGACCCTGCAGGCAGAGCTGTGCACACCTTGCCGAGCTGCTGCTCGCCCTCCCTGCTGCCCCTGAGTGCAGTGTGCCAGCCCCAAGGCCGTGTCCCTGCTGATGCAGCAGCTGCCCCTGGGGGAGTAGCTCACAGCACCGGGGCTGCTGCTATCACCCTGTGCCAGAGGTTTCAAGGCCCCACTGCCCTCCCCTACCTGCAATTTTCCTGCTGGCTCAGGGAGAGATTGCCATGCTCCCACTGCTCTGTAAAAATACAGCCAAGACATGCTGCTGGAGACGTTTTGGCACCCTTGGGCCAGGGGAAGCAAAACTGAGCGCTGAGGGGTGAGTCCCTGAGTCCTTAGACAAAGCTCTCCAAGAGCTCCCTGCATGGCAGGTCCCAACCAAAACCTCGTGGCCAACCTCATGGCCAACCTCTAGCATAGTCTGTGGGTCATGGGCATGCATTGCACCCCCACCACTCTACTGCATTCCCCAAGAGCTCTGTGCTTTGCTACAACAGCCACAGAAACAGAGGCACAAAGGCCCTGTGCTTCGCCCTGACCTCAAAGACCATCACTGATGCTCCTCAGCGGTTTCACCAGGAGCTGCAAGGAAAGCAGTGGCTCTTTGGGGGCTCAATGGGACCATGGCTGATGGCCTGTCCTGCCCCCATGGCCAAAGAAATCCATCAGGCAGTGCTGGCAGCAAGGGCAATAATCCTACGCTGAAACAGTTCCTCAAATAAGCAAAACCAGAGAAATATTTGAGGTTCAGCAGTTATTAAAAGACATAAATCCCTGCTCATAAACCCCACCGTCCCCACAGATCAATGCTTTGAGAGACATCTGAAGCTTTGTAAACTAGAAGAGGTAATAGGATTAAAGCTGCAATATGACAAGACAGCTAATTTTTAATTATTTCTAACTCCTTTCTAATTTCTACTTCATCCTGAATATTTAAAAACCTTTCCAAATGTATTTCACAGGTTTCAATAACAACCTAGTAACTGGATGTGGCATTATAGCAATTTATAATCACCTCCCAAAATGGGGATCTAAATTAATCTTTCTACATCTCATTAGTTTAGCTATCAGAGATCTTTTACAAGATAATTGGCTTTCAGTGGCTTTAATTTAATTTAATTTATTAATATCTTACATTTATATTTCATAGATGCTGTTTTAATTATTGAACTGATACATCTCAGAAACATAACTCTTTTATACAGCACAAAACTTTTGCTTTTAGGGCTCTAGAGCCTTTTAAGGATGTTTTAATGATAAATAATAAGTCCTTGTTTGTGTTTGCCTTTAGAGTGGATATCAATTTACTTTTGCCTTAGGTTCTCACAGAGGAAAATTAGATCTTATTTTGGAACATCCTGTTTTGCAGATGAAGCTGCCTTTATTGTTAAACCAAAGCTTGTTCCAACTGTGTAATGCCATAAAAGCACAAACAAGGGGAGGCAGGAGTAGCAGAAATGATGTGGAATAAGGAGCCAGTTCACAGCTGGCAGGTATTTCTGTAAATTATTCATTGGGCAGCAGAGTTAGGGAAGCTGAAGTCTCCCAAGGTGTTGTGTCCCATGGCTGAGCTCCCCAGTGCTGGCACCAAAGCTGCCCTGCCTGGAGCTTTTCTTGCACCCCTCAGGTGCTTGCTCTACCTGCACCCACACCACTAGCTGGGTCTGGGGGCTCCCCACCATCCCCCTGGCTAATTAATCTGCAGCAACACAGCGCGTGGAGGCTTCCAGCCTGCCAAAAACTTTGGCTGAAATGTCCTCACCGAATCAGTGAGGACAGACAGACAAGCATGCTGCACAGCTGACCCCAAGAACATCCTTCCTTCAGAAACCAGCCTAAAAATATGTTCCCTCCTGGAGCAGAATAGCAGCGTTGAAACATCTGACAGTAAATGTGATGATGATAATTGATGCTTAATGAATAATCCAGGGTAGCTTTAATATTTAACTTCATAGAATACCTTTTGTCCCCAGGAGCTCAACCAATTTATAAAAGGTGGACTTTTCCCCTGCAGTGCCTTTTTAACCATGAAATACACCATTTCAGGGGGACCAGCTGCACGACTGGCCTGCATGGGCAGGTTGCACAGCACTGCAGCAGAGAGGGCCTTTGTCCCTTTGTCCTGCTCCAGGACCTGCTCGGAGTGAGGCCATCTGCAACACCTGGGTTGGGGCAGTCCCAGACATGAGTAGAGACAGGGAGAAGAACTCCTTGAGAGCAGCCCCATTGAGGACTTAGGGGGTTCTCATGAATGCATCATAAGCAGCACCATCATTGGGCTGAGGGAGGGGATCCTGCCCCTCTGCTCTGCCCTTGGGAGACCCCCACCTGGAGTTCTGTGCCCAGCTCTGGGGTCCAGCAGAGAGACATGGACTTCTTAGAGACAGTCCAGTGGAAGGCCAGAAAGACACTCAGAGGGCTGGGGCACCTCTCCTATGAAAACAGGCTGAGACAGCTGGGGCTGTTCAACCTGGAGAAAGCTCCGAAAAGACCCTAGAGCACCTTCAAATACTTAAAGAGGACTTATTAAAAAAAGGGAGAGTGACCTTTTTAAATGGGCAGATTGGGATAGGACAAGGCGAAATGGTTGTAAACTAAAAGAGGAGCGATTTAGGTTAGATGTTAGGAAGGAGTTCTTTGCTTAGAGGCTGGTGAAGTGCTGGCACAGGTTGCCCAGAGAAGTTGTGGATGCCCCTTCCCTGGAAGTGTTCATTCAAGGCCAGGTTGGATGGGGCTTTTAGCAACCTGGTCTAGTGGAAGTTATCCCTGGCCCTGACAGGAGTTTGGAACTAAGTGACCTTTAAGGCTCCCTCCAACCCACACCATTCTCCAGTTCTATGAGTTTACCTCCGGCCTGTGACTGTCAGAGGCCACGATCCAAGGCCCCACAGAGCTGAGCACTTCCAGTTCTCTGGTGGGAATGAATTCCACCCCTCACCCTGCTCACTGGGGGCCACTTTCCAGGTGTGGGTTGTGCTCCTGAGGGCTGCCCATGGAGGAGCTTTGCTCTGACACGGCGCGGGAGCAGCCGAGGGGCGGCAGCGATGCCTTGTGAAGGCTGACCTAGAACAGAGACTAGACGGGCCGTCTCCTAATATGAAGCCTAGACTTGCACATTAAAGCAGAACAGAATCTGAAAAATAGAAAAGCTGAAACAGAAGCTGGCAGGACAAAACCCGAACCTGGAGATGAGGAGGGGGCCCTTGCAGACCCCCATGCCTCCGTTCCATCGGGCACACGACGGGAGCCGGTGCCCTCCGGGCCGGCCGGAGGGGCCCGCGGTGGCTCCGCTGCCCCGCCGGGCTCTGAGGGCGGCCGGGCGGCGGAGCTCCCGCTCGGCCGGCGGGCCGGGCACGGGATGAGCGGGAAAAGCGGCCCAACACCCCCCTCTGCTGTCGGCACACAGCGGCACGGGCTCCCGCACCGCCGCTGCCGCCCCGCAAAAACCCCCGGCCGGGCTCATTTGTCCCGCTAAAGCATGAAACAAGTGTGTGTCAGAGGAGAGCAACAACCATCGGCAGCGTCTGCTCGTGTCATGTAAGTACCTGAAGCCTCGGGTGAAGCCAGGTTTGCGTTTAGACACGCACGGATAAAAGCCATGGCAGTTTTTACTTAGTAATATCCCTTCCTCCCTGTCCCCAAAGGAAACAAGCTGCTTCTCTTCAAAGTTACTCTGCCACGCAGCTTCTCCCAAATTTGCTCTTGCAAGTCGTGACTTCTTTGGACACAAGGCTGGTCCCCTGGTGTTGGGCTTTGCTGGGTGTGGAGGGCAGGAGGCTGTAAAACAAGGCAGATAGGTTCCTGTTTTACTGTCATGTTGGTTTGGACCAGTTCTACAGAGTGGCCTTTTTTTATTTTAGACACATTTCAACATTTTAAAATTACTTTATTTGTAAAAGAAGGCTGCATGTCTTTTTTCTTTCTCTCCCCACTACAAGTACCCCATGCTGATTATGTTTTTTCTTGTAAAATCTGCAATTAGGACTTTTTGATAATGCAACCATTCTTGGCAGCACCCCTAAGCCATGAGGGGTGTCTTCCAGCTGCAACATTCAGGGCCTTGGAGAAGGCACCTCGGTGAATCTTGAAGAGCTCCACTGAGCTCATGGTGCTGCAGCTGCTGCAGGTCAGGCTGGGACAATTTTTCCTTCTCCAGGAGGCTCCCGACATGGCTCACCCACAGTTCATGGCTTCTCCTTGATGGCTTGTTATTAAACTGTACAAATACGAAATTCTTTCCCCTATTAATCAAATCAGGAAGAAGGTCAAGTGGGTTCATTTTAGATCAGTCAGAAGCGAACATTTCTGGTAGTTTGGTTTGCTCAGCAAAATGAAAGAACTTCCCTGAAAGAAGTCTGAAGCCAGCCAGGGCTTCTTTGTACTTGGGTTTAACCCTAATGTCTGAAGCACTGGTGTGACTGTCTGCTGACTTGGGGTGACATTTGCAAACACTCCCCTTTAGTCCAAACCAACCTTTTTTTAGTGAGTAAATGACTGATCCTGCCATGACCCTGTGCTCTATTCCTATACTAGCCAGAGATGCCCAAGTGTCACCCAGGGTCAGCTCGTGACTTTGGCATCATGTGCTCTTGCCCCAGACAGGCAGAAAGGCAAGTGTGTGATTTCTAGACAGCTAGGAGACTTCTCTTCCAAAAATACATGAAGAAGTCCTCAGCTGCCACCCAGGTCTAGCTGTTCAGGAGCAGGGATGAGCAAGAGGTCCAGAATATGAGCCAAGGTCTGGATCTGCCCTTCTATGCTTCCACCACTGTAACGTGAGCATTTTTGTCTGTCCTGCCAAGAGGCAGGGCAGGGAGTGTTCCTCATTGATTAAAAAAGGCAAATCAAGGTCCCATTAGATGCACTCCAGTTAGGGACTAGGATGGGGATCTCACTACCTTGGGGAGGTGAGATACATGAAATAAACCAAAAAAAGTTGTCTTCCTAACAACCTGCTCTTGTTCCTCTCTACTAAATATATTTCCTGGAGCCAGACCTGACTTCTGCATCCTATGACTCCTGCTTCAGGGATCTTAAAATTCCTACTGATTTTAGTGGGATTGGGCTCAAGCTGCTGGACCAGCAGGGAGCTTGTCCCTGGGTGGCAGCTGTCCCTGTGTGCTGCAGCGGGGCTCCCCAGCCCCCAGGACAGCATATTCTTGGCTGTACCAGAGCACAGTACATCGTGTTTCGTCCTTGCAAAAGGTTGTTATAAATGGTTTCATTTCAAGGGAGCTCAATTAAATCTGGGAACTCTTGCAACAAGTTCACTCCTAATTGTGGCTCGGAGACTTTGCAATAGTCAAAAGACAAACGGATGGTGAGGAAAAAAAGCAAACAGTAGCAGGCATTTCCATGATGTCCTCTTTGCTCCTTATTAGCTGTGCCCTGTCACGTGCGGAGCACTTCGAGCGCTTCACCTGTCACTTCCAAGACTGTCACATTTCTCTTCCTAAGTTTCCATGTCTTTTAGGGAAGAAGCTGAGCACACTACTTGCCAAAGGCACCATCCCATTGCCTTTGGGAGACAAGAAATTCTGAAAACAGACATTGCTGCACCTGAAACTGGCCTGCAGCTTTTGAGCTCCTTCCCCAGGCCACAGGAGATCAGTCCTCACCAATGATTTCTAGCTAAGCACAGTAATGAAACCCACAGGACATCAGTCTGGCAGACGCTTTTTAATGGGACCTGATTGTCCTGAGTCCTGAGAGTGGCCTGGTTTCTTGGGGATTACAGCTGGCCTTGTTTCAACTTTCATCTCAGCTGAATGTGATCACCAAAGTCAGGTCAGTTCTCAGAGTGGGTGGTCTCTGTGCAAGCCATTCCTCACAGTGAAAACCAGCATGTTGCTGTTTTCTCCCAGGGCTGGTCCTGGCCCTGGGACTGCCTTTCTGCAAGGCAAAGTAAGACCTTTATTTTCCTTTCCCCATTTTCTTCAGCTATAAAAATACACCTGTAGATAGGATTATTATAAACAACGTCATTAAATTGTGCCTTTGCTGCTTTGTTTGCAGTGACTCATACTGCAATTCTTACAAATACAGGTCAAACAGGAGCCAGAATTCAGCAATCACAGTCCTGGCTCTTCCCCATCCTAAATGCTGACCTCCACAAGGCAGTGGGAAGGACTCTCCTGTAGATGACCCAGAGACATGAGGTCCCTCAGCACATCCTCCTTCCAGTTAAGGCAACAGCAAACTGGTTGCTGGTTCCCTGTCAGCTTTAAGCAGTAGGTTTTGTTCTTTGGAAGCAGCCCCACGTTGTGTTTCAGCAGCCTTGGTGCAGGGGCAAGGCTTGGCCAAGTAAGGAATTGGGCTGGTTTTCCCCCTCCTTGTCTGCCAAGCCCCTGTGCCACCGCGCTCACGTGTTGTGTCTGGGAGCGGGTGACAGCTCACATAATGCAGACTGGCAGGTGACCACGGGAAATGCAGCACGGGTCACGTCTCTGCAAGCCAGGCTCAGCCTAAGTCTCCCAAGATGCGTCACTAAGAGTCTTAGGGCTAAATCCCTCCCTGCCAAAGTGCAGCCCTGCAGCAGGGATGCGCTCGGCCCCCACTCCCGCCTAGATGTGGCCGTAGCTCTCTGCATTGGTGGCACAACTTGTCAAACTGCTTGTTTGGGAGCTCTCCTTAACCAGGGCTTAACCTTCCAGGAGCCCAGAGCAATGGAAAATATTTTACCTTTCTGTACCTGAGAGCAATGAGTGTAGTTGGGGAGCAAGACCTGCCAGGCTGCCTGCAGATTGTCAGGGGGTTGTGACCATCCAACAGCTTTGAGGGGGCTGTGATCCGGGGAGTCTCACTTAGAAAAAACACAGTGGGGCTTCACACCACCCTGGATGCAGTCAAGCACTTCTCCCTGCCTCTTACCAGCAGAGAAACGGACAAGGGATGGGAACCTGGCTGGCCCTTTGGCAGACAGCGAGTACAGCTGCCTCCCTGTGTGCCGTGCCTTTGCTGGGGGCAGGCACTAGCACGGGGAAAATCTGACCTTTGGGTGGCCATTCCTCATGGCAACTTTTTTACAAAAACATCCAGCACTATCTATGCTTCTCTCCTACAACTGTCCCCATGTGTACCTGGCCTTGTCCTAACTCCACAGCTCTCACTTTTTGCCAGTCAGATCCCAGCCATCCATCCATCTTGCATTCATCTCTCCCTGTCCCTGCCTTTCCTTCTCGCATCCTCTCCTACGATCATTATTAAACTGATCTCACCAGTCTCCATGTGGATTTCCTGCCAGCTGGAGGCAGGTCCTCACACATATCCTGGGCAGGCCAGGCTTATTTCTGCCCCATTCCCATGCTCCCCACACCTGAGAAGCTTACACCCTCCCAGAGCAGAGGCAGGACAGCCTAATGCCTGGCTTTTTAAGTGACAGCACCTCTCATGTGACAGTGAGAGGCAGGCCTTATCCCTTCTTTCCCTTGTGAGAAAAAGGTAGGAATAACAGGCACAGCCCCTCCAAATTGAGCAGACACCCTCGCAGTATTGCCCTGCTGCCCACAGCAGCACTGATGTAATGAAGGGCCTTGTTTCACACAGACAGCAGCTTTGGAAACATTTAGTAATTAGTGCCAGAGACAGCAAAGCTGAGAGCATTCCTGAAACTGCTCATTAAATCCCCAGGTCCTTGGAGTCCTGTAGCTGCCTGATGGCTTCCTGCACACACCAGGGGCAGGCAGGGGACCAGGCTGCCCCAGCTCCCTCCTGCCCTCCTGCCCACACTCCGGCCACCAGGCTCAGCCCTCCCCCCTCTATTGGGTGCCTCATCCCTACTCTGAGGAGCTGTGTCCTTTCATCTGGAGATGCCATGTGGTCAGTGCCCAGCAGCTGCAGCATCTCCAGCTGGGTGGGTGCTGGCCCCTGTTCCCTCTCCTCCTCGAAGGATTTCCACAGCGGTGGGGACCGTGCCCAGACCCAGCTCCCCGTGGCTTTGTGAACAAGGCAGGTGTGTTTGTGGGGTGGCCTGGAGGCTGTATGGGAGGGTGTGATAGAACCTTTTCTCCTGAAGGCTCTGCTGTTACACACAGGGCTGCTCTGCTCAGTCATGGTTTCATTTCTGGGTACACACGGATCGGGGCTGGAGCACAAGAGGCCATTTGCCTCTCTGAAAAGGTTATACAAATGTTCTTTAATTACCTGGGGAAATAAGTGATCAAAGCCATCCTTCAGAAGCTATAGCTGTAGGACACTGCAGAAGTGCCTGTGCTTGAGACCAGCTGGGTGGATATTGTTGCTATGAGGACATTGCTTTACATTTTGTGGAGGTGGTTTGTCCCATCTGGAGAGCAAGAAGCAAAGGTGGGGGTCTGGCTACTGTCATCCATCCCCTATGTGGGGCTGGTGAGAAAGTGGGGCCAGACCCTTCTTGGAGGAACATGGCAAGAGGCAACAGGCACAAACTGCAGAGGGAAGTTCTGGTTAGGGAGAAAGAAAAATGTTCACCATGGGGATAGTGAGGCCCTGGACCTGTTGCCTGGGGAGGTGGTGGGAGCTCTGCTCTGGAAAACACTTACAGCTCACCTGGACTGGCCCTCAGCTACCTGCTTAACTTTGCAGGCCAGCTTGGCTCCAAGCAGGGGCTGGACAGGAGGTCCTGGACCAGACCTTTCTGCCCAGACCTGCTTTGTGATTCTGTTATCCACATCCTCCACATCCGTAAGATATTTCTGCAATTAACCCGAGTTTACTGATGTGCCACATCACCAAGTGCTGCAGCACTTGTGTGGACAGGGCAGCGTTGGGTCAATCCCTGGAACTCCCTAAAGCAGTGCCTCAAACCAGCCTCATGATCCCAGCCTCCCCCACCTCCGCAAGTTCCCCAGGCAGCTGCAGTTCAGAGCAGACCTGGATCTATTAACCAGGGGAAAGCATAGGAATTTCAGGCAAGAAGCTTTGGTCCATCTCATGGGAAGCTTTGTCATCCAAGGTGTCTGAATCTTGAGTTTTGTGGAGGAGATGACAGCAGAAGATGGTTTGGGGACTTTGCAGTGTTGTTTCTGTGACATGCATGAATATGAGTGACTGAAGGACAGGTGCTGTGCAGTGCTGCTTATAAAAATACACTGTTCCATCCGTCTCCACATAATAAACACATTAAAAAGGAACAAGGTGTGTCGCCAACTGTCTCCAAGGCTTTACATGGGCCAAGCTACTTTTTTTTTTTTTTTTTTTTTTTTTTTTTTTTTTTACCTTTTTACAACAAATGGAAGTAGAGCAGTGAGTTGGTTTCAGGGGAGAGAAAGGAGTGGGACGCAGAATATCACATCCTATTTCCTCTTTTAAACACTTGGCAAGGGAGAGAACTTTCCATTCCCATCTGGCACAAGCAGACTAAACACAGGTTCCTTTCTGATAGCCATCTGCACTCTTCTGCTACCTTTTCCCATCAGTCTTCTGCAGGCAAAATGCAAACCCGTACACTATTTAAAGATTCTCAAATTCAGGGTGTGTAACAAAATGATCCCGTTTAGTTACCTTCTTTCCAAGTCACTGAGCTTCTAGTGCCAAGCCAAACAATAACCTGGTTAATCAACAGGCTCAGGACATGAAAGCAACTCCATTTCCTATTTGTGAATGCACAGATGTTGTTTATCTTGGATCTCCCCTTGTTGGTCCCCCAGGATTAAATCACAGACTTTTAGGTGGAGCATGAGTGATTGCTTTTCTATTGAAGCAGCTCACAGCAAGGTTTGGCCAGCCCTGCTGCTGTATCATCCTCCTTCCCACCTCCCTGGTGCTGGGTCTCTCTGCTGGCCCAAGGGCTCCCCACAAGAAGTGGGGTGTGTCGTGGTGTTTGGAGGCATGGCTTGCTGACACAAGAGCTGGGTTATCTCTGCAAGGACCTGCCCCTGGCACACCCTCAGGGTGGTGGGGCTGATAGTTCTCAATACCCAGGCAAGGCTGGGTCAACACTGACACTGATAAGGGAGATGAGCTTCCTTGCAGACACAGATGTGGGGCCTGATTCCTGTGCAGCTCCCTGTGTAGCCATCCAGCCCCACCTTGCAAGCCCAGCATGGTTTTTGCCAGGTCAGAGAACACCATATTTCAGATGAGGTGCTGGTTTTGGTCTGGTGCAGTAGCTGGTGCTGCAATGAGAAAGCCATCCCTGGTGAGGCCTCTGTGCCATCCCTTGCTCCCAGGCACCACAGCTGAGCTGCAGGTTTTGACTTTGTCCAATATAACCCGGGGAATCTATTGGCTCCCTCTGCGAGCAGGCTGGGCCTCCATGTGTCCTGTGGTGGTGAGGCCGTGTGCTCCACAGTCAGGTGAGTGGGACGATTCCTCCTTCATACAGACTGAGATGCTCTGAAGGTCCAGGCACATTTGCCACCTGATGCCAACTCCAGCCACCTCGCTCAGCCCTGGCAGGGGGGGCTGCTGGTTCTCCTGCCTGCTTATGTAGATTTTAATTTCAAGTGGAGAAGGCCATCCCCATCCTTCCCCATGCCTGTCAAACTGCTGCAGAGCCAGGCTGGCATGGCCTCATCTGCAAACCCTCCTGTAGGGGTGGCTGCACCATGGAGGTGTCGGTGATGCTCTGCACGGGGTCCGTGGAGCATTTTAAGAGGCTTCCTGTGGGACGAGTGCCACTTCTTGCAGCATCGGTTGTGACTGCACTCACAACCTACTTCCTCGGCTGCCAAGTGCTCTTTTGCAGAGGGGGGAGTCGTGGTGATAGATTTCCATATTGCAGAAACACCCCGACTGCAAGACTGAGCTGGTGGAGGCTGAGGCTGTGTTTGGAGACACCTTCCCACCCACAAACCCTCTGCTGCCGTCTGCCTACCGAACGGGAGTCCCCACCCGCAAACCCGGCACGCAGCCTTGCTCCGCAGCTGCGAAACGCCGAGCAGCCCCGCTGGGCGCACGGCGTGGCCCGTCCGTCTGTCCCGTACCGAGGACAGATGGATGCGCGGCGCCCGGGGCCGCTCCCCGCAGAGGATGCTGCAGGGCCGGGCGCTCCCGGCAGGGAGCGTGTCCCGCACGCCGCGGGAGCAAGAGGAGGCGCGGGGGGATGAAGAGCGGCTGGAGAGACGTGGATCGAGCCTCGGCAGCCGGCCGCTTTCCCTGCTCCCCCATCCTGGACACCGGTCCTGAACGACTCGGAGACCTGGACGAGCATCAGCTCGTGCCGCCGGTGCACGCTCTGGACGCAATTTCCCCCTAAGATGCTTTGTGCAGGAATTTCAGTGCCCAGGTTGCATGGCAGGACGGGGACGCTCCCACCTGTGGGCACAGGGTGGCATGGGGACACGGCGTGTCCTGGGTGCCCTCAGCAGCTGGGAGCGGTCACCGCAGCGGGGCAAAGGGGGTTTTCTCCTGGTGCAATTGCACTGAAGTCCATACGAGTAGAGGTAGGTGAGCAGGGAATTTGTCTCCTTTGGAGGCATGACCGAGCTGTCTGATTACTATTCTTCAAGAGTAGTGAAAGATTTAAGATAAAGCCCATCCCTTAGCCTGCGGGCTGGCCAGACAATGCAGCTGCCGAGGACAGGAGCCACCAGGCTGCTTCCTACCATGGGAAGCACCCGGAGCTGTGTAAGACAAACTGCAGTGACCCTTCCTGGGGGCCTCGCTGGATGGAGGGTTTACACAGCGAAGACTGTCCCACTTCCATGTCTGTAACTGTATGGCATGTGATGAGATGGGGCCAGGATCCTTTCCCTGCTGCTTTGGGAATGGTAGGAGTAGTGGTGGGTGAGGGGAGGAAGGAATCATCCTGCCACACAGTTATTCTGGGCAGTGGTTCACAAACCAGGGATTGAGAAGTCTCACCGAGAGCAGAACACAAATCCCCACTGGGGCCATGCTGCAGCCTTTGGAAAGGGAGAGAAGAGCTGCCACTGAGAAAGCACAGGACTTCAGAGCTGAGCTACTTTAGCTACTCATTCCTCAAGTCCCCAAAGAAGCAATTACTGCATCGATCCCTGTCTTAGTGAGCTCTCGGAGCAGAAGGCAAAAGGCTAACTAGCCTCCACTCTTAAGTAGGAAGCTGAGGATTTTATGGGATTACTTCTTGCTCCTTGACAGATGTAGGCTCTTTTAGGTCAGAGTTGAGGTCAGTGCTGAGCATCATGGTTTGATTTAATAGGCAACAGTAAGAACCTTTCATCAGGACAGGGATGGGACAGGCCGATGACCGCAAGGGACCGTGCTGGCTCCTGCACACCTGTGCACATGCAGGACAGGGTGTGGAGAGGAGCATTGCTGAGACCCATGTGGTCAGAGTCCCTCTCTCCCAAGAGTCCCTCTGGATTTGCTCCCCAAGCCTGGACCTACCACAAAGCCAGAGGAGCTGGATGCCTTCCAGGAGCCAGGCCACATCCTGGTGCAAGCTGTCCCATGCTCCTCCTCTGCAGCGTGGCCATAGCTCTTCCTAAGTCCAGCTTTCATTCCAACAAGTAGAAGAGCTTGGGGCTCTGCTGGGTGAGCAGCTATTCCCTAAATCAATATTAGATTTTCATCATTGATTTTCTGCCCCAGGTCCTTTCAACACTTTTTAACAAAGCTGACTCTGCTGGGGAAACTCCAGGGGCTGCCATGCCCCTGCTTGTCCTCTCCCATGCTTTGTGGTGGGGACACAATGGTTTGCCTGCTCTCACAGCAGCCAGAGCTAGAGCACTGGCTCACTTCTATTGAGACAGACGTGCCTGACATCGAGAATGTTAGTCCTCCTTTGGTGCAAAAATGGTATTACTGGTGTAAAAGTTGCCCTGTGCTGTGATAGCAGTGGTCACAGCTCTAATTACAGCATAGATGAGATATTACAGAAGGAATGAATACCCCCAGTTAGCTCCTGTGTTTTGGTGCCTTCTTGATGCTTGGATTTCCATGTTGCTTCTCTCCCTCTTAGGCAGGGGACTTATCTTTGTGTTTCTCATGCTCCCACTGTCTCCCTGATGCTTGCAAGTGACCTGCCAGAAACCGGGAAGGGGAGATGTCGCCTTGTCTCAGGGCACTGCTCATCTGACCAGATTAAAACAGATTATAAAAAGGGAAATAAATATCAGTGTTTAAAAAAATAAACTCTGTTTTAAAAAACCCCAAAAACTATGCTGTTAAAAAAACATACCCTGTTAAAAAAAATAAATCCATCAATAAATAAAACTCTAGAATGATGAAAAGTGGAAATGCAGTGACTGAGTAAAGGATTCAATTTTTTAAATGAAAGATCTTCCAATTCCAGCCAAAAGGCATTTCTATTCCCTTGACAGAATATAAATATTAATCCAGACACTCGTTGTTCTCAATGTGTCCTTTTGTATTGGCATGATCTGGAGCCACATTGAGAGCTCACATCTTCTGCTGGCTTCCTTGAGGGTGCAGGGTGCTCGCTATAACTCCAGAGAGTCCAGCAAGGACACGTCCTCCTGCCCTGAACGTGGGGCTCTGCTGCTCATCCATGCTTTATCCAAGTGCATCTCCTGCAGGAGCCATCAGAAGGATGGAGAAGAACACCCCCTTTTGCAGGAACCTGGAGGGGATGCTGGTGAGACACCTACATACACCATGTGAGGTCCACATCAAACCCCCTTCTCTGGGCTTTTGAGCCCAATTCTCTCCTGCTTTGTAGAATTTTACCTTATTGCAAAATGTCTCTGAAATTCTGCCCCTCTGGTGAGAACGGTGGGCAACAGACGGGGCCAGGGAAGAGTCACGGAGACCAGCCACATGCCCAGGAAACTGCAGGCTGTGTGGGGACATGTCCCAGGCAGGGCTGGGTGAAACAAGGACCAGGCATTGGGTGAAACTCTGGTCATGGGGCTAACAAGCTGTGCCACCTCTAGGAATGCAGAGGAAAAGAGAAGAAACAGTAAAGAAACCAAGGTCTTCATATTTTCGGTTTCTTGGGACAGAGAAGCCATGTCCTTTGTCCTTTCCTCCTGTCGCTGGCCTTTCCACTCTCCTTATGGTTATCTACAGGGGCTGTCACCATCCAAGGAAGGCCCCAGTTCAGAAAAGTCCTTAAGCATAAACCTAATTATCAGGACAAGATTAAGGTTTTGGCTGAATCGGGTCTGCAGAGCTGGATGGAAACCAGCTGAGCCACCCCGAGCCAGCCTCACCAGAGGCTCCAGACTCAGCTCCAGCACGGCCCTTTCCTTCCTGGGGGGTCACTGTAAAATAAAACCAGAGGCAACCTTGCAAAAGCAGATCCAATTCCCAGGCCCTTAGCAGCCCATCTGGGTCTATAAGATCAAACCTCTCTACTCTGCCAGCTGTATCCATCCTTTTTGCTTTTCAGCACAGAGTATGAACCCCATTTTCCTCTCTGCTCTCCAACCCCCTTCAACAGGAGGCACACAGAGCAGGACAGCCAAACGTTGAGTGGCCTTTTCTTCTCAATCACTCTCTGAAAGTCACTGTGAAATGCGATGCTATGTGGAAAGTGGCTGGAAAGAATGACACTGCGAGAGCCTATTTTTTTCCAAGGAAATAAATAGAATGTGTGCCACGAGCACGGAGAGGAGGGGGTTTGTGCCAGGTCATGCACAGGTAGGGCCATGCAGGGACAGCCCCGAGTTTGTTTGAGCTGCAGTCACCACCTCTTAGGAAAATTTTGCTGGTCAGAGGCACATGGGACAGTCTCTGGTGGTGCCACCAAGGTGGCAGCCTGCAGGTGGCAGCTGTTTCAGCTTGTCTGCAGCATCCCTGGGCATGCAAACTATTTGCAAGGGGGTCATGAAACTTGGTGAAGCAAAACAAGCTACTGCACACTGTGTGTGCAGGAACCCAGAACCGGGGGGAGCCTGACCACCTCTCAGCAGATGAGGGGGGACTTAAATGCCCAAGGTGCTGGTGGGATGTCAGGCAAGCCGGAGCTCAAGGCCTGGCTCCAGTGTGGTTGCGGTGGTGGCCTGGATTCAACTATTTCAAAGGGCACCGGACGGTCAAATCAAGCCCCAAATTTAAATTTGTTAAAATAACTTCTTGCAAAACATTAGGACGGAGAGAAATGTTTCCATGGTTTTGTTTTTAAATTCCAAGTGGGAAGAGTTTATTTTTTCACTAGGAAACTTTCCCCGTAGGATTCACAACGCTGGCCGGGAGACAAGAACTGGCGAGCTCCGCTCCCAAATGGAGGTGACCCTAAGGGTGACCCTGCGCTGGTCACGTCGCCTCGTGCAGCCTCAGTTGCCCCATGGAAAAGGGAGGTGGCCACGTGCATGGCTGCAGAGGGGCTGACATGCCAGCGGGGCCGGCTGTCGTGCGGTCAGCCCGTGCCGAGTGGGATCTAAATCCAGACATGCAGTGTCTTGTGTTTGCTTGGAGGCAAATGCAACGAAAACTCTTACATTCCAAGCAGGTTAAGGGAAAATATGGGGAAATGAGCAATCTCCTTGGCTCTGCTGATGCACAAGTGTCTTCCAGGAGGACAGCAATGCTCTGTCATCACTCTGCTCCTGCTGGATTGCTGCTGATCCAGAACGTATAAGCTACCATTTGTTTACTGGCTTATGTTGTCCTAAAAAGCAAAATATTACAGAGATTTATAAAATTAACTGAAGGTAATAAAAAAGGCACGGGGACTCATCTGGTTCCCCTTAGCTCAACGCCCTGGAAAGCCCTTTATCCCAGCTGAGAGCCCAAGTGCTGCTGTTCCTGCCCCCAGGTGACTGGGGAGTCCACAGTGTTTAGTGCAAAAATACACAGCAGTGAAACAGGGACTTGGTGAGCATTGAGATGAGGGAAGAAGTGGAAATCAGAGCAGGATGAGCTTCATTTACTAGAACTGGCTGAAAATAAAAGACAAAAAAAGAGCAATTTGAAATGCTTGTATCTTGCTCCTATCAAGAGATCAGAGAATGAGCACAGGTTCATTCTCATTTGTGATCAAAGACTTTGAGCTAATCCCATTTTATTCTCTACTCCCATGTACTGCTCTGTGGTTGTGAGGTCATGGATGGCAAGAAAATCCTCTTGCTTTGCACTCTGAGAGAAGTGAGGACTTGGCATTTTAGGATGTGGGATGTAATGAAAACTGATTGCATGGACATACCATTTCCAAGGTGGCAGCTCAGCAGCTCAAGGGTTAACTGGGCTCCCTCATTTTCAGCCTAGACGTTGACATAAAGGCTTATCCAAAGGGAAAAGCTTGTTCTTAGCAAGATGGGAGCCGCAGGTACAACAGCCCCTCCTGCTCACCTCTGCAGCCCCAGCTTTTCACACCTGGCTGGGGCAAGTAAAGCAGAAGGAGCTGCTTTAGGACAACTCCCTTGCATGGAGAACGCCTCCCCAGGCTTATAACACATCTTACATCCCTGGGACACCTGGATACCTTCAGCAAGACTTCCCCCAAGGGTAGGGCCAAAGGTGCAGTGTTCCT